CACACACACACACATCACATATATATATATATAATATATATATATATATATATATATTATATATATATATAATTTTACGCTTACACAAGACGAACCACAATGTCTTTTCTCTCCCCCCCTTCTTCTTCCCGCTCTGCCTCTCCTCTCCTCCCTCTCCTCTCTTTCTTCTCCTCCCTCATGCCTCTCCTCTTCCTTCTACTCCCACGCATCTCCCCTTTCTCTTTCCCATTCTTCTCTCTTTTCGTCTCCTTCCACCTCTCTCTCTTCCCTCCTTCTCCTCCCGCCTCTACTCTCCTCGTTTCTCTCTCCTCCTTCACGCCTTTCCCCTCTCCTCCCTCTCCCTCTCTTCTTTTGCCCCCTCCTTCTCTCCCCCCTCCGCCTCTCTCCTCTCTCTCTCCTCCTCTCCCTACCTTCTTTTCTGCCCACCTTTCTCTCCTCCCCCCCCCGCTACTCTCCCTTCTTCCCTTCTTCCCTCCCGCCTTTCCTCTTTCCTCCCATAATTCTCCCCCTCCCGTCTTTCTCCCCTCTCCTTCTCCTCCGCCACTCTCCCCTCTTCCCTTCCTTCCTCCCGCCTTTCCCCCTCTTCCCTCGCCTCTCTCCCTTCCTCGCCCTCTCCCCAAACTCCCCGCCTCGCCTCCCCTCCCCTAATCTCCCTCCCGCCTCTCTCCTCTCCCTCTCTTCTCCTCCCCGTCTCTCCCATCTTCTTTTTCTACCTCCTCTCCCCCTCCGCCTCTCTCCCCTTCTCCTTCCTCCTCCCTCGCCTTCTCCCCATTCTTCTTTTTTACTCTCTCCCCCCTCCCGCCTCTCTCCCTCTCTCCTCCTCCTCCCTTCCTTCCCTCCCCATTTTCTTTTCTCCTCTCTCCCTCCCGCCTCTCTCCCCTCTCCTTTTCCTTCCTCCTCCCGCTTCCCCATTCTTCTTTTCTACCTCTCTCCCTCCTTCTCTCCCTTTCTCTTCCTCCTCTCCTGCCTTTCTCCTTCTCTCCTCCTTCTCTTTCTTTTCTCCTCCTCTTTCTCCTCCTGCCTTTCCCCTCTCCTTCTCTCTCCCTCTCCCCCTCTCTCCTTCCCCCCTCTCCTTCCCTCCCTCTCTTCCTCTCCTCCTGCCTTTCCTCTCTCCCCTCTCTTCTTTTCTCCTTCTCCTCCTCCTGCCTTTCCCTCTCTCCCCTCCCTAATCTCCTCTCTCCTTCTCCTCCTCCCTTCTCCCTCTCTCCCTCCTAATCTCCCTCTCTCCTTTCTCCTCCCTCCTGCCTTTCCCCTCTCTCCCCTCTTTCCTTCTCCTCCCTCCTTCCTTCCCCCTCTCTTCCCTCTTTCCTTCCTTCCTCCTCTCCTTCCTCCTCTCCTCCCTTCCTCCCTTCTCTCCCCTCTCTTCCTTCCTCCCCTCTCCCTCGACGCCTTGTCCAAGCAGCTGTCGAACCGAACTCCTACCTGCACAAAGTTCTCGCGTCGACTCTTTCGGGAAACTGTTGTTGATTTTTATATTCCTCCAATAAAGCTTCTAGTAACGCGACCGGCAGCAAAAATAAATAAACAAATAAATATTAATAATAATAGTAATAATATGGTGTGGTGGTGGTGGTGGTGGTGGTGGTGGTGGTGGTGGTTGGTGGTGGTGGTGGTGGTGGTGGTGTGTGGTGGTGGTGGTGTGGTGGTGGTGGTGGGTGGTGGTGTGGTGGTGGTGGTGGTGTGGTGTGATAGGTGATATGTAATGATATGATAATGATATGATAATGATAATGATATGATGATAATGATTAATGATGATGATGATGATGATGATGATGATGATGATGATGATGATGATGAATGATGATGATGATGATGATGATGATGATGATGATGATGATGATGATGAATGATAATGTAATGGTGATATGATGATGTGATGTGATGATGATGATGATGATGATTGATGATGATGATGAAACGAAAATAATGACATAGATATACATACAACATACATATATAATGGCTACATACATATAAACATTGATTGCACATGCACATACATATAATACATAATTTATATATATATATATATATATATATATTATATATATTATATAATTATATATATATATATGTATATTATATATATATATATATATATATATATTATATATATATTATATATATATATATATATGTATTCATATGTACACACAAACACACACACATGTGTACTCACACACATATATATACTGTGTGTGTATGTATACATATATAAGTGCGTGAAGCGTGAGTACGTGGTTGCAATGCATGAAATTCAAACCTTAATTCTTGTTGATAAGATATTGCACAGAATTACTCATGATTACGACAGTTGTTTTATGAATTTAAAAAATACACACACCAGCTTAAATAAATAAATATGATCGATTATCTGAAAGCACAACTAATCCCTAAGTGTGCAGCCAGAGCACCTAAAAGAAAAAGAAAAGGATAAGTAAAAAAATAAAACAAATATATATAATAGAGGAGAGAAGAGAGAGAGAGAGAGAAAGAGAAGAGAAGAGAGAGAGAGTGAGAGAGAGAGAGAGAGAGAGAGAGAGAGAGAGAGAGAGAGAGAGAGAGAGAGAGAGAGAGAGAAAGTGTTTGTTACATATGAAAGAAAAATCAGAGAGAAATAATTAAAATGCTTAAGGTAAGAAAATGTCCCGGTGAAAAGAAAACGGAGAGGTTTTATTTATTTTATTTATTTTCTTCTTTTGGAATATGACATTGTGCTTTTAATAGCGAATTGTGAAAAGATGGCTTTCCATCTCGTAACTTTTTGAATATGAAAATAATAAATATGAATAGTAAATGTAAACCTGAATATCCAGAAATTCATCATTACCATTTCTCTCTCTCTCTCTCTCTCTCTCTCTCTTTGTATTTTTTTTAAATCCGTTTCCTGGCAAGAAGATAAATAAGTGATAAACTGATATAAACTTCCTGTGGCGGCTAACTTGCCCCTTCGCCCTATATGAAGAAAATATAACATGCTAAAAGAAAGAAAGAATGAATGAATAAAACAAACAAACATACAAAGAAAGAAACAGAAAAGAAAAATGTGTTTTTGCTCTTAACATGCCAACAAAATTTTAAAAATCGTGACGTCAACGGACATTTCACCAAAACAAAAATGCAGTTAAAATAATATATTTCGTCATCTGGAATTACCCCTTAATCTTCAATCTTTTTTTAGTGTATGATAATGTCAATGTAATGTTTTCGTCTTTGTCTTCCAGTTGCAGAAATGTAATAAGAGATGTCATTCATAACATGAGGTAAAACCGTTAAGTTCACATTTTAAAAATAAGTCAAATTCACATTGATACAACTGCCTAAAGATTTTTATCGCTAAGTGTCTAGTTCTCTTAATTTGAGCGTTATTATTTCGATGTAATTTTATCCGGCATTGCCTTCCTTTTACAAACCTGATTTTCCTTTATTACAATTTTTTTAATGTTTAAAATAGGAGCTAAATAAGCCACTTCCTAGAGCACCCCCTTCGCATATGGTATAATATCATTCGTATGATGTGCGTATTTAATATGTATATATTAAATACAGTGATTTTAAAGTATTCTAATTTCAATTATATATCAGTCTCTTGGTAATTATTGTAAAATCATATATGATTGAGTAATGTTCTGTATCGTGGAACTTAAATAAATAAAGGAATCAAATTGAATTGAACGCATTTACATATAAATTTATAATGGATGTGTTATTTAATGCTACATGAATAATAATCTTTTAGAGGTATTAATGGTATAAGGCGACAATCCATGCAGTAGTGTAGACATTTAGACTATTTTTTCTACATTATAGTTCAACGTTCTCCGGGACTTAACAAACTATAGGAATGATTAATAATGCATGTTTCGTTTCATTAATTTTGGTCTACGGAATGGACAAAGTTTAGACCCGTACTTTTAAAACTTTCGCCAGTGCTGGCGTTCGGGCGAAGCTTCGCCAGTGAGGGAGGCCGTACTTTTAAACCCAACCTTCGCTAGGGCGGGCGAAGGGATCGCCTGGCGCTAACATCTTACATTCCTGCTAAATCTAGCGCAAATTTGCAGTGCACATAACATAACCTAAACTTAATTGTTAACCTCCAGAGAAGGCGAAAATGTTGTTTCCGTAATAGTCTCACTTTATACTATAACAAAGGAGTTAAAATTTAACTTTATGCTATAACAAAGAAATTGAAAATAACTTTACACTATAACAAAATTAACTTTATACTTTATGCTAAACTACACTTTATAGTACAACAAGGTTTACTTTATGGCCCGTGCTTTTAAAACCTTTTGCTAGTTCTGGCGAAAGGTGTCGCCGGGCGATCGGGAATTTCGTACTATTAAAAGTTCGCCAGGCGAACTTTCGCCAGGGCTGGCGAACGATCGTATTGGAACAGCCTGGCGAAGCAAAGTCGCGAGAGCCCTCCCTTTCCCGTGTTTAAATACTCTTTTCTTGCTTTCAATTTATAAATTAGTAACATATTTATGTATGATATGATGTAGGAATCCCATTGTAATTGTAAAATATCTTTAAATCATAAATTATTATGAAATAACGTATATACGTAGTTTTTTCAAGACCTTTGATGTTCCAGTCAAGAGCTCAAGACATCAGCTGTATTCCTCCCCCTACCCCTACCCACCCCCGAGATGACTTATTTAGATTTAGGTTGTTGTTATTTTGGTCTTAAGAATAATTTTCCTTTCACAAATGTTACCAAAAGTATTTTGATGATGGCATGTTTACTTTTGGCTATAGAAACATAGCTGTAGTGCTCCACCGCTCTTATAATGAGGCGTGTCTAACCTAACCTAACCTTTGTATCCCAACAGTTAACTATTTTATATCGGTTAGGTATAGTAAATTATTAATTTTTAACTCCTTGTATAAAGTGAAGCTATTACAGATATAACATTCTCGTCTTCTCCCGAGGTTAATAATTAAGCTTAGATTATGTTAGGTAAGGTAATAAATGATATGATATAAGTAAGGTA